GAGGGAGGGGGACCCCATTCTACTGGAGGTGGCTGTAAGAACCTGATGAAAAGTATATGTTCATTTACACATGTTTCTAGTTTTCATGTGATCAGTGCCTGACTGAAGTTGCTACTTAGGAAATGTTAATTCATCTCCTTTATAGAAACCTGTGCTGTTCAACAAGTACGCCCCTGGATGACTGCAGCAGGTTCTGTGTTTCATTCCAGTTTACCCCACTACCATCAGGAAATCTTTACTGTGTGTGCCAGTCCCCTGGGTGTTTACACAGCTGTGTTCTGCTCCCCCTGCTCTTCCTCATGTGAACCCCACAGCCATGTGGACCTTCATTGTCTGGCTCTCTGTCCCCCATCCATGCTATCTCTTCTTCCTTTCTGTTTTTTTTTTTTTTTTTTAACCATCCACATACTGGCATATGCTAGCTTGTTTTTCCATTACTGCCAAACAACTCAGGTTGTCGATCATCTCCTGGATCTACTTTTCACCTGTTTCCTTCAGAGCCTCCACTTGCTCTGCCTTCCTTTTTCTTCCTTTAGTGCTGGAAATCATTCAGTTCTTTCTGCTGGCTTCTTTTACTCAGTCTGTTGGCATATGTTCAGGCCCAGCCTCTTCCTGAGAACGTTTGTGTGATCTTACTGGTTTCCTTTTCAGAAACTTACTGCTTTAACTTTGTTATTTCTCCAGCTTTTTAGTATTTTTGATTTGCTTCTGAAAGAAACTGCTGTCTTAGAGGTTAGTTTTTCCTAATGTGTTGTGGAGGGCCTCAAAGGAATGATGGTAGAGAGTACATCACAGCTAGACTTAACCACTCCTGGCTTATATGTGGCATTGGGCAGGTTACTTAACTCTATGTCTCTGTTTTTCTGAAATGGGAAGAACAGGACCTACCTAAGAGAGTTGCATGTGATTAAATAAATTTGTACAGATAAAGCATATCTCTGAGCTAAGGATTCCTGGCAAATAGTATATGCTGGGTGTTAGTTGTTGATGTTTAATTCTTTCTCCTTAACCATTGTGGTATTAGACCTGTTCAATCTTTTCTCTTTTTAGCTTGTAGCTTCTTCACTGTGTTCAAGCTAAGAATGATCTATTGATCATTGATTTGGGGCCTTCTGTTTGTGGTCTGCATGCATTGTATCTTGATTTTAGGTTATTTTTCCTGTAATTCACCACCGTAGTTCCAACTTTCACTTAATATGAGTGTCTCTCCTAATTGTCTTTCTAGCCCATTTTTTTTTCTTAGCTCCAGGCCTACATCTCTATAACTGCATTTCTGTATTTAAACACATTTGTAACCAGGGAAAGGTGCTGTTTGTCACAGCACCTGGATATTGAGTCCTTCAAAGCCCAGGAAACATTTTTAGGTTCTTGCAGACTGGTGCATCCTTCTCATCCTGACTACTCCTGTCAGTGACTGTAGCCAGAAGGGGGAAAGGTGGAGACAGATTTATAGCAGATCTGTTCCTTAATTTTCTTTGGCAAAAAATGGGGCAAGTTCATAAATCTTTTCTTATAAGCTCTGAGATAGAATGTCTAGAAGCTTTCATAAACTTATTTTATTTCAAGTATTTTCCCCTCTTTGGTTCCTTTTTGAAAAGAAGTGTTTTTTTTTAAGTCTCCTATCCCCTGAAAACTAACATAGTACATATGTTAGAGGCAGATAGCAAATGGATGAAATTAAAGAACACGCAGCATGGTATTAATTAGCCCTGTGCTTTAGTATATTTTTCAGATTGTCTCTAGACTCAAGGGCAAGATTGAAAAAGACTTCCTTACTTATGTTCTGAATTGTAGGGCCTACAAAGGGAGGTTGTACATGATAGTCAGCAAGAATTTATCTGACCATAGGCTGATGTAGTTTCAGGGTGTTTTGAAAGTCCAGCACAACCTTTCTCATGCTGGTGTGCTTGGTGTGACTTTTGTAAAACGTTGACATATCACTGTGGCCCTAACACTGTGTCATTCTGTATCCAAACACATCTTCATTTTCTATTGGGTTTTGATCTTTAGGGATTAAACCTATGAGGACAATGAGGCTGAGGAATGTAACTTACATGACAGTAAATGATTTTAATAAACGATTTTCCATTGAAGAGCTTGTTTCTAGCTTTGTTTTTTTCTCTCCATGTACTGAATACTAAATTCACTTTTGGCAAGTAATTCGCCTTTGTCACAGGTGCCATCAGTAAAATTTTTCTAGTAGTTTTGTTAGAAACAAACTTTCTCTAGCTATTTTTATTATATAACTGGATACTACATGATTTAAAAAATAAATTTCCAAAATGTACAGAGCACTTATACTCTTACCTAATCTTTTAGCCCGGGCCAACATCACTTACAGAAGTCTAGGTTTATTATTTTTATCCCTTTGTTTATGTTAGCATAGAACAAACAATTACAATATTGGTAGCAGATTTTATAGCTCACTTTGGAATTAAGTAATCCAAGGTGCTGTCAACCAGTTGGGTTTGATAATCTGTTTAATGTCTCTTCTCTTTTACATTTTAGATGATTTTACATCTTGGTATAGGTAGAATTGTTAGTGTTAGTTTGGCTTTTTAAAAATTGAATTTAAATTAAACAATTTAACTATTTAAAACATATAACTTAAAAATTGTGTAGTTGTACAAAGGGGTTTCAACTCAACATGTCACTTTTTGTCTTTTGTTGAAACATTTTTATACATTTTTAGTTCTTATTATTTTAAGCTGTTTCTTTGCCTCTTCATTCTTTTAACAGCCATTCAAGTAAAAGAAGATTTTTTTGTAGTGTTGTAATACCTTATAATACACTCAAGCCTAAACAAGTTAAATCTAATTATAGGACTGCTTTCTAGAAAGCATGTAGACATACTGTTAAAAATGACTGAGGCAAAGCTCACATGAAACCTGCTCATCTGTTCTTCTGTCTTTCATGGGTTGAAAATGAAAAGTTATTTTATTTTTTCCTACGGTTATATTTAGCACTCTGCTCACTTACACTGTAAGTGTAAGTATATATAAAAATGACATTAAGGAGTAGTAGATAGCATATTCTGCTCATCTCTTTACTAGAGATAAGGAAGTATGAATAGGGCCCAGAAAATTAGTTGCTATTCCTAGCTATTGGATTTTTTTTCCTCTTTTTATATTTTGACTCTCATTACTGTGCTCAGTGACAACTTTCCTTAACATTGATAGTCATTAACTGAACTTTGCTGTTCTTGGCTTTCCCATGAGCGTGAGCTTCTTGACTGAATGGAGTTTTGGCTTTTGTGGCTTTGTGCTTAGGCAGTACAGAGGGGGAAAGGCTTTAGAGAACATCTGGTGTAGTTCTACCTTTTTAAAATGAAGAAATTGGGACCCAAGGGACTGGCCTAAGTCCTGTGCTGCACCGCAGAAGCAGATAAGCAGAGGATCTTCTGAATCTGCTGCTTGCTGGAGCGGGGATTTGGTACTACAGTCAGGGGTTCTGAGCTTTGTCAGTTTCCCAAAAAAGTAAGGGCTTATTTTTAAAGCACTTAGCACCTAGAAATAAGTTAACCAGCCTTAACATGCACATTAATTTTTGACCCTATGTATCTTTATGATTTGGATAAGTAGATTTGTCATTGAAAGGGAGTATAAAAGCTGACATATTAACTCTTAGAAATTACCAAAGTAAAAATTGATTATAGGACATGGTTGCTTCCTCAAACACAGCAAGAATATATAAGATCCATTGCAGGATATTTATCTACAGTAGATACTATGGTGATTTGTGGTATACGTACTGTTAAATAAAACAATCTACGACTGTATAATTTGTGACGAGAAAGTTGACAGTATTAGGAAAAGTGAATTTTAATCTCAGGATTGAGTACTGTTTTGAAAGACTGAATTTATAGACTCTATGGAAGAAAATTATTTAAAGGCAAATGAGTTTGTTATGACTGTTCTGTTCATTTAGTGTCTTGTTTGATAGATATTGCAGTATTTTTTTCCTTTGTATAGTCATTATATTCAATGTATGTATGTGAATATGGAACCAGACAGCTTGTGGAGAATGGAGGGTTGGGTTGGGAGAAATGGAGAACAGTGGAAGGAGTGACATTGATCAAGATGCATTGTACTCATGAAGTATTATGTTGAAGATGCTGGAGGGGATGTGGACAGAAGGGAACCTTACTTCATTGTTGGTGGGAGTGTAAACTTGTTCAACCACTTTGGAAAGCAGTATGGAGGTTCCTCAAAAGACTTCACATAGAGCTCCCCTATGACCCAGCAAGCCCACTTTTGGGCAATTACCCAAATGTTTACAAACAAGACCATACTAAAGCTGCCAGCACAACTATGTTTATTGCAGCATTATTTACTATAGCTAAGATATGGAACCAACCCAGATGCCCCTCAGTAGATGAATGGATCAAGAAAATGTGGTATACATACACAATGGAATTCTATGCCTCCATCTGAAAGAATAACATTGCCCTATTTGTTAGGAAATGGAAAGACTTGGAAAAAATTATATTAAGTGAAGTAAGCCAGGTCCAAAGAAACAAAGGTCCCATGGTTTTCCTTATTTGCAATAACTAGTATATGTCTGAGACAAGCAGAAAAAGTCAGATAAGTTGATGTTAGGTGAAATCAACCCTAAGATATGTATTCAATTTTTTTTCTTTCATGCATTGGTTTCTAACATTTATAAGATTATTTCTTTGTTGCTTTGTATATCCCTCCCCCACAGTATAACTCCTGCTTTCACTGTAAAAAAATGAACTATTATATTGAATTGAAGCTTTTTTGTAAACTACTTAAAGATTTAAAATGATTCATTTCTAGTGTTTTAAAATACCAATTCAGTTTTTATAAATATTAAATTGGAAATAGTTTTCTTATATTTTACTTTTCCTTCAGGCATAGTAATTGTCCAAAGCTAATTGAGTTGGTATGTTTATGGGGTATGTCACTAATTTTGGTTATAATCTTATTAAGAAAAGCTTATTGTGTTGTGACATTCTCCTTGTTCTTTTTCTTTTATAGCCAACACATATCTTTTTATGGTACAAGCTCGAGGTATAATGTTGAGAGAAAATGTAAAAACAATAGGACATATGATCAGGCTGTACACAAATAAAAATGCTACTCTCAACGGGACAGGTAAGATGACTTTCTTCTTAATTATGTTTGCTTTGCTTCTATCCTTATAGTCATAGATGGCAAATGAAATTGCTTGAAGTCTGGTTTGCCAACAAGTAACTCCATGTTAAAGATGAAAGCATCTCCTATCGAGTTTACTTGGTAGACTACATTATTTTGGAAATCAGTTGCTGACATGTATTTTAAGACATATGAATCTCTGATCTTAAGCATCTCTAATATGAAGATATTTAAGTTGATTTTTCAGAATATAAACAAAATACAGAGTAGCTTCTGGTGGGAAGTGATGGGAATACATTGTGTGTGTGTGTATATATATATGCATGGAAATGTCATGATGAAATCCCAACTTGTATAACTCATGTGTGGTTACACACACACACACACACACACACACACACAGAGATAAAAAGAACAGCTTCTTTCCAGTTCACTTACTGTATTTAAGGTAAGAATTAATAGCCGCAGAGAGTGACCTTTTTTGTCTTTTTTGTTGTTTTGTTTTAAATCTTTTAAAAATAGTTTTTTTTTTTGCTGGCCTTGGAGCTTGAACTCAGTACATGGAGCTATTCCTGAGCTTCTTTTGCTAGCACTCTACCACTTGCACCACAGTACCACTTCTTTGTTTTTGTTTGAATAAAATGTCTTACTGTGTAGCCCAGACTGGCCTTTCATTCAAGTTTCCACTGCCTCAAAATCCTGAGTGCTGAGATTCTACACATGTACTGCCATGTCTGGCTCATTTAATCATCTCAATGAATTATTAACCATACTGTTATGTTCATTGTATCCCTAAAATATTTATCCAGTGGTGTCTAGAATGTACTGTTTTAAATTACAAGTCATTCTTGTAATTTAAGTTTTATTTTAATAGATTAATCGTAAGGAAAAGTGTTACAAAATTGCAAATCAGTACAAATGTTCCCTGGAAGTGGAGTTTTCATTAGATTTACATAAGATTAAAATCTAATAGGTCTAGTAGAGGGTTGGCTCAAGTGGGTGTGATTCAGGGAGTGCTAGCCTTGAATCAAAAAGCTAAGCAAGAGGTTGAGAGTCTGAGTTAAAACTCTAGTACTGGCACAAAAAATTTTTAAAAAGATCTCATAGGCCAACCTAGTGTTTTCTGATGGCAAAGTGGTTTGATATGGCAGACTACTAAAGCTCTTCTGTCAAGTTTCCTGCAGTATCTTCTAGACTATTACAGGTGTAACTTGAGAGATCAGTGGGTACATCAGTTTTGGCACCCCGTATATTCTTACTTTATGTAATTAACTTATTCTGTCTCGGTTTTCTGTCTCCCCAATGGAAGGTCTCCAATTCCCAACCATAAGTATTCTTTTTAAAATGAATGTATATGATTCTCTTCGAGAAAGAATTCATGGCAGTAACATGCTGATTTACAATTTAATGTCATACATGCTTGTACAAAACTTGTTGTAATCATCTGTCCACTTATTTAAATTGCCAGAAATCAAAACACTCAATTTCCTTTCATCATTAACCTTAAGTTCTTTTAGAAAAATCTGTCTCAACAGAGCAGACATTTTAATAGTACAATAAAGTCTCACTAAATAGTCTTCTGCATTAATTGTTCTGAATAGTAGGTTAGATGTAGAAGTTTAAACATTTGTAAAGCTAATTTGGAACTCTCCTGACTCTATTACCTAAGCAGAAAGGGAAATGGAGTTTGAATCTGAAGCTTTGAAGCTGTGCCACATTCATTTAGCCAGCACATACCAAGCAATTAGCATAGTATAGTTTGTATACTTTAGATGTGGAAGACAGCATTGAGAAAAACATTTCTCCATTTAAATGTGGATCTCTCTCCAGGCTTTTTAGAGAGATGGAAACATAATGGGTCTTCACCATGTAGTTAGTCATTTCTACATGGACTTATAGACATGTATAAGGAAACATTGGCCAATAAAGTATACAAAGAGCTAATTAACCCTAGAGGAGAGTTCATTAACGTGTAGTGGTTCATTTAAAATATAACAATTAAAATGTAAATAGGTCATGGTATCTGTGGGTTCATTTAACTTCAAAATGGAGTTTTTAAATACTTCTTAAATATAAATAAGTATAATATTTTTTGTATAGAAATGATGTCTGGTTGCAACCAAAGGATGCCATTCCTTGTATCAACAGAGCCAGAAAAATTAGAAAAAAAGATGTGTTTACTGAATAATGACTGAGATAGGTAATAGGGCATGCAGATAGTAGGCTTGTTAGAAATAACCGGGCATACTTCCTTATTTGATGGATACACAAAGTAAGGCTGGCAGGTATGGCTCAACTGATACAGAGTGATAGGCAGACCAAAATTCTTATGGTGCCATTACCTGTTTTTTAAGATTCCCTTTGCAGGAAAAATGAAGCCACTAAGAGACACCCTTTGGTCTCATTCTCCTCATCCTTTAAATGATTGAGAGTTGAACGGAGGACCTTGTACAGTACCTTTCATTCGGTTTCCCTTTTCTTTGGGTGTGGCTTTCCAAAGGGAGGAAGCAAGTGGAGGGCCCAGTGCTCATCTTGTTTCCATCCATTCATTAGATGAAATAATGTCTGTCTTTTGCAGCAAATGCATCTGTTCCCCACTTTGAAAGCAGTGGTTATGCCTGATGGGCATTGCTCATCCAACCACGTTTGTAGAAACAATGATTTTGCGGGTTGATCACAGTACAGTCTGTGAAAGCTGAAATCCTTTTGGGCTATGTTATCAGTTGTACAGTGTTTATTTGTCCCTGCCAGGCCATAGGTACTTTATTAGATGTTGGAAATCAAAGATAGTTTTATTTCAATGAACAGATTCTCAGAATAGTGGCCAGTGGGGGATAGATTTGTATATATACCATATGATAGATGCATACGTACCACTGGACAGAGGACTCAAGGATGACAGAGACAATTTTGTAACTCTTGCAGTGAGGTGAACTCTTCATGCTCATTTGTAATGATCTAGCCAAAACATTGGTCTAACTATAAAACATAGTATTTAAAGGAAGTGACTATAACTTTGGTTCTTTAAACCTGATCAAAGTGATGAATGTGTTCTGTTATTAAAGATTCAGTCATATTAGCATTGGAATAAAATGTGAAATTTCTTTCTCTGGCCCTTTTCTCACCAGTCTCCCCAGGGAGGAATGGCATCTAATAGTGTGTTTGTAGCAGTATCTGGAAAGCTGGAAATGTCAGAGACTTTGGATTTGAAATAGGAGGGGCTGCATAATACAAAAGTTAATAAATTATGCAGAATAAGAAATGCTCTGATTTAAAGTTGATACATGACATTAGGGGGTTCCTTGAAGTTTGCCTGATGAAGGTGGTGTTTTCTGTACTTCAGGTTTCTTTTCTTTTTTTAAAAATCAGTTTTTGGACATACAAAGGCAGTAGGTCCTTGGGTGCAGCCTTATTTATTTTCTATTTCTGTCTACTGCAAATGTGTAGTGTAGAGTGGCTGCTTAAGGAAAATTGAATGATGGAAAGAAAGGAAAACCATTATATTGATGTTCATAGACCATATGTTCTTTCTTTTACTTGTGCAAAAAAGTTGTGAGATGAAGCATGAGAGAGAGAGTGAGAGAAAGAGTTTTGTGATTTCTGCAGAAGAACTTGTTCTGTATTGTTTTAACTATTTAAATTGAGAAGTAAGTTACACATATATCTTGTTTTAATTTTGAGTAATGCTTTCCTGTTTTAAAATCAAAATAGAAAATAATTACAGTAAAAAAGTAATTACAGTAAAAGAAAATCTTCTGTAGACTCCTCTCTGAGTCCCTGTACTTGAAGAACAACTTTAGTTTTTGTTTTTGTTTATGGTAGTGGGGCCTGAACTCTGGGCTGGGTGCTGTCCCTCAGCTCTTCAGCTCAAGGCTAGCGCTCTACCACTTGAGCCACAGAGCCACTTCTGGCTTTTTCTGCTTATGTGATGCTGAGGAATCGAACCCAGGGCCTCATGCATGCAAGGCAAGCGCTCTACCACTGAGCCACCTTCCAGCCCCATTGGAGAACAACTTTTAATCTCCTTTAATCTGATGCATATTTTTTATTAACATAAAGAAATTGTACAAGGAGAATTTCATTGTGATACTTCCACACATGTATACAGTGTATTTGAACTTTTAATTTTTAACAGTTTATTTTGTCTTTATCTTCATTTCTATTTTGTCTTTCTTTCCTTTTTGCCTTTTTCCCTTTATTCTTCTGGGGTTGATTGCAGGGCCTGACTTCCAAGCATGCACTCTATGACTAAGATAACCCCTACCCTGCTGTTTCTTGATTTATCATTGTAATCATTCCTGTTACAGAAGAAAGTCATTCAGTGTTTGGTGGCATATGTTTTCACATCTTCTTATTCTAGTATAATTATGTTGGGACTTATATTCAAATCAGTCTTGTTTAGGGTATGTAAACAATGGCTTGTTTGTTCTCCCGAGTCAAGTTGTGGGCAATGTTTACTGGACTGTTTTAATTTTACTAAGGCTACTCATTGATTCTTTTCTCCCATTTGCTGTGCTCTCTGTGCCTTTCCCTGAACTCTAAGCACTTGAATTGATCACACTTACAAAGGGTTTTGAAATTCCTACTTCATTGTTTCTTTCTATTCACTGTTGCTTTTCAGAAGTATGGTCACTCTGCTCACAGTTACTATGCACAGACTTGTTTTTTGTTTTTCATTCTGGAAACTTTTAGGCTTAATTTCCCTTATTTTAGGATTGAAAACATTTACAAAGTAATTTTTTTTTGGTCATTCTTGGGGTTTGAACTCAGAGCCTAAGCACTGTACCTGAGCTCTTTTTCTCAAGGCTAGTGCTCTACCATTTTGAGCCATAGCGCCCTTCCAGTTTTCGAGTGGTTAATTGGAGATAAACGTCTCAGAGAGACTTTTCTGCCCAGGTTGGCTTTGAACTACAATCCTCTGATCTCAGCCTCCTTCCTGAGTAGCTAGGATTGTAGGCATGAGCCACTGGTGCCCAGCTACAAAGGACATGTTTAACTTTAGTTTTCTCTTCTTGCTAAAGACATTTGGGTTTATCAATATGGAAATGATTGTCATTGTGCAAGGAAAATCCAGTTTTAAAAGATGACTCTAACAGTCAAATAAAAAAAGAAATACTTTAGAGCTCAGAGTGCCTTAAATATTGATGAATAAAACAGTGAAATGTGAAAAAAAGATGATGTAAACTTTGATAACTACCTCAACATATTTTAAAAAGGATCTGAAGGAAACAATTAGAGCTTCATTGGGTTTCCTTATACTTATATTTGGTGCAGTGACTTAAAGTCTTTCAGATGCATTTGGGTGAGAGATATATAGTGTGGACCCATAGGAGGGTTCTATGGCTTTGGTCTGTTGTTGGGCACACAAAACAGTACCTGTAGAATAGCTTGTCCCCAGCCCCTTCCTCTCTGCCCACTCCCCAATGACTTGAAGGATTTTTCTTGTAAGAAATTTTCCAGGATGCCTTCAGAGAGACAGACTGGGAGAGTCTAGATTCTCTTCCACTTCATGGTAGAACAGGCCTCTATGTTGTGGCTTTCTACAATCAAGTTGATACTTCATTAATGCTCCATTAAATTCACAACTGAGGTTTCCATGCAGTCTGTCCTTTGGAGTTGGACCTTCTCTGGTTCTATCTCTTGCTAATGGGCTTGGAACCTTTGTTCCTTCCATGAACCTGTGCTTAGCAGGCTTGGCAGGATGCTCTTCCATGAGTGGGCCTGAGATGGGCCGTGTCCTGCTCTGAAGTGCTGTCCTGGCCCTGGCTACAGCCCCATTAACTCCATGTTGATGATGAAGGGATAATAATGAACAGAGAGGGGGCTGAGGGTTTGCTTTGATTCTTCTCATATTGTTCACAAGTATACATCTACCATTTTTCCATGGGTCAGAAAGTTTAGCTTTTATAGTCTCTTCCTTTGGAGCAGATAACTGAAGATTTGTATCTTCTAGAGCTTCATTTTCTGTGATGCACAATGGATCGAGGAGACACAGTAGTTAACTGTTGTAATCTCCTCAGTTTCTCTTCTTCAGTGGTTCTCCTTGGCCAGCTTCTTCTGAGCAGCAGGACACTGGCATGTCCTGGTTTCTCAGATTTGCATTTGAGAACTTTGCCTCAGAGAAGGGCTGAAATCTCTCTTTGCTTCCTGGTTCAAAAATCTTGAAGCTCTGATTTATTTCTGTGTTCATGTCATGTTTTGGTTTGGTCATGTGTTCATGACTGCAAATGTTGACTGTTTTTGTGAGCCAAGGGTTGTTCTGAGGTTGAGGTATTTTATCTTACTGAAATGTAAAAATGATTGTAGCAGGGAGACAAATGGAAAAATGATAATAATGGCCCTACTTTGAAAGCGAGTATGTTTCTGGAGCAGCAATGATTTGAATTCAAGCATTTGACTTTGGTGTTGCTGACAATCGCTGTTTATGTAGTAAACCTTGCTGGTGCCAAGGAGAATAGATTCCTCAAGGGCTGTAGTGTGCAGGTGCAGAAACACTAAAGGATCAGAGTATGCTGTGTTACGGAGAAGTGGAGTGGGCAAACCTCAGTTTCTTATGCATGTGTTCTCTTACCCCTCTTCTCTCTGGATGCAGGTAGCACTATGCTGGGGCTGTGTGATACTTCAGGGTGGAAAGGATTCCCACCCTCTTTACATCTGGCCCAACCAGAGAGGGGGTGGGAGGAGCAGGTGTTCTCATGTTTGTGTGTGTGTTAAGGATGGGCTGCTCTTTGGTCCTCTCCTGGGAAGTCATACTGAGACGTCCTTTCTAGCAGTGGGGTACTTTTTCCTAGTTCTTTCTGGGTTATTGCTTAAATTAAATACCTCCATAGGTTGCACATTGGAGACAGCTGTGCCATACTTTCTAACTAGAAGCAAAGTGAAAACCAATGCATGAATTATGACTTTCTTTTTTCTCTCTGTCTCCAAGATTATCCAGAAGGCAATAATTCAAGTGATTATCTTGTTCAAACCACAACGTATCTCCCGGAAAACTTCACATATTCACCATACCTTCCCTGTCCAGAAAAACTGCCTTACATGCGTAAGTGTGAGATATTTTGATTTTACTGTTTACTGGTGTTATAATGAAGGAACAAAAGCCATGTGATTCATGCAGGGTCAGATCATCATTACTGTGGGTATGAGGTTCATATTATATAGTGTGTTACTGTATTTGGGGAGGTAAAATACTGTCCTGGAGGTGGATGATTGAAAAATTAGAAAAAAAATGCAGGAGAGGAAATGTCACATACCTATGCTTCTCTTTCCTAAATTTAAAAACGAATACTTTGGTTTACACCCAGATTGATTTCTAGTAGCTCTTAAGAGAATAATAATAACTGGTCTTCTTTTTGGATATATTAAGGGACAGTAAGATTAATATAGTCTTTTGTGTTTTTATTTTGCAGGGGGCAGGTTGCTTTTGTTGTTACTGTTGTTAAGACAAAGTCTTTGCTATGTAGCCCAATCTAGTTTTGAACTTAAGAGCCTCCTGTTTCAACCTTACAAGTGATGGGATTATATAGGTGTGTACTGCTATACTCAAAGCTAAAGTCCTTTTGGCGGCCATCTCAATGCTAGTTCTCTATTCCCCCCAGCCCAAGAAGTAACTAATTTCTATTATGAGTTTGGCCTGTATTTATGTAATTTATTTAAATTTTTATATAGATAGAAAATGCACTTTCAAAGCTTTAAAAAATTGTAAGTGATGTTAAATGTACATTTCAGGCCAGGCGCTGGTGGCTCATACCTATAATGCTAGTACTCAGGAGGCTGAGATCTGAGGATCTAGGTTCAAAGCCAGTCTGGGCAAGAAAGTCCCTAAAACTCTCATCTCCGATTAAACACCAGAAAACCAGAAGTGGCTCTGAGGCTCAAAGTGGTAGAGTACTAGCCTTGAGCTACAGAGCTCAAGGACAGAGTCTAGGCCCTGAGTTCAAGTCCCATGACTGACAAAAAAGTACATTCCATTATGTGATATTTTTTTTTAAAGTTACTTTATGGAGAGCTACTCACGTTGTTATATAAACTTTTATTACTCTTCACTATTGTAGAACATGTCTTCATAGAAATGTGCCACCTTTCAATTAGCCTGCTTCCTATGTTAGCCTGCTTCTTAGCTGATAGACAATGACACACACACACACACACACACACACACACACACACACACACACACACTTTTTTTCAGTGACAAAATAGCAAAAAACAAATCAAACAAAAAAACCCACAAAGCATCCTGGTTTTATTTTTGATCTTCCATTGGAGAGCAGTGAGCATATTTGAGATTCTTCTGTGCACATGCATGTATGTGCTTACGAGTTGATGCCTTGTGCAGAAGAACTGTTTCATTCTCTGAATTCTAGTTTCAGTAGCACCAAAGTACACCACAAATTTTCATTGTAATAGTTCTGAGGCCAGGCTGCTGATCTTTGGTCCACAGTCTGAGGCTCCTGATCACAAGGAGTCATATATTACATTCCTGGCTGCAGTTGAATTGCATAGACCCTCCAACTTTCTGGCTTTACTGGTCTATTCAGAGGTCGGGCACTAGTTTTGGGGAGAAAAGTGATTCTGATCTCTGTGAATACCCCCGTGAAAAATGAAGAAGTGATTTATTTAGCCACATGTTTTTCATAATTTTGTTATTACAGCCTTGTTTTCCCGAAAGTGAATGTTTTTCTCTGTGCATTACTAAATGAAACTCTTGGGTAATATTCTGTTGAAATATTGGTTACAGTAATTTCATCTTCATAATTTGCATTTTCAGGATTTGATAGTTTTAGAAAATCTTTCCTTGGTATAGTTACCCTTTTCTCAACTAGTGTTTTAGGAATGCTAATTAAACTGCTTGATAAAGAGTGTCTGCAAGACCATCATGCTAGGCGGTCCCCTCCTCCATTCCTCAGCTCCTTATAAATACCTCCCTTCAGGTTGGTGCTTGAGACTGTGTCATAGCTGCTGTGGCTGCCCTTCCTTTGCTGGGGGTCTGGCTGCTGCTTCTCCTTGCTCCTGCTTCCCTTTGGCTACTACACTCTTTTGCAGGAGAGGATCATACCAGTTTTTCAGCTGCCTTTTCATAGCAGACCTCCTTGTGAGCTGCCACCTTTCGGTCCAGCACCAATCCCATTTCCAGTTAATGGTGGCCAGAATGGCTGGATTAATGGGAAGGAAAGACAACCTGAGTATAAGTAGCACTTGGGAAAAAGAACCACAAGTATAACCAGTGTAATAAGACAGTATAATAAGTCAAGAGGGCCTTGTGTGAGCTGTCCTGAAGAGCCTTTTCACTGTGATCTCTGCAAAGCAGAGCCTTCCTGTAGCTAGCTGCAAAACCTGGGATACTTCAGAGTATTATGTGAGGTTAAAGCTCATATGAAGTAGAGCTCAGTGCTTGAAGTTGATGGTGTTCATTTGATTCTCCCTTACCTTCTCCCTGCTTCTGTGAATGAGGGAGCCAGATTTCATAATGATCTAGGGAATGAAAAACCCAGGAGAAATGTATGAACTTGTTTTATACTTAGCCATTCATTTGTTTTAAAATTAACAGGGTATTTCCCACTGGTGTTACGGAACAGCATAATCAAATACCTAAGTGTAATATCTTGTTATAATGACAAAATAATTGAATCTCTTTCCTCCCCAAATAATTGAGGGATTCTGTTTGAGAATAAAACCATTCATGCAAGAATGATTTAATTTATCTAAATCATCAAAAATGAAGTTAAAATTGATGTGCTTGATTATCTTAGGTGAAGATCTTTTAAAAAATTTATTTCTAACTAGTATAGCAATGGGACTGCCAGTAGTGGATTAATATAAGGTAGTTTGAATTTTTCAAACTGGAATTTAGAAAATGCACTTCATGGATTTCAGCAGTGTTTAATATTCAATAGTGGTCAATTATAGTTTGCAACCTGTGTCTTTTAATGTGTATTACTTATAAAGAATATGAGTGACTTCTTCATTACTGTCAGTATTTATAGACTCTCCAGAGGGCAAATCCACTTTCACTTTCAGCTTTATTGAATTTATATAAGATTCCTTTGTGCTAACCAAGTAAAATAGGGAGGACTGGGGGGGGGCGGGGGGGGGGGGGGATGGGAAGGGATGGGAAGGGGAAACAAAGGAGGAGGCTATAATGCTTGATAAGAAATGTACTCATTATCTTGCCCATGTAATTGTAACCCCTCTGTACAGTATTTTCACAATAAAAAAAAAGAAATTTTACCTTATCTAGAAAAAAAATAGAAACAGTAAGTGCTTAGCATAGATGTTTTTATTTGGATTTTTCTGGGTGAATTAGCAATGGGAGTGGATTATGTCAATAGTACATTGTGCATTAAAGCAAAGGCAAGCATGCTTTTAGTTTTCCTTTCCTTTTATTCTTACTTATAATACATTAGCTGTTATACAGAATACTGCTATTTGTGGAATAATTTCTTTTGTAATTTAACCCTGATACTTTCTATAATTACTAACCTTATGAATATAACAAAATCTGTAGAGGCTTTTTGATACGGATTTAAACAATTGAAATGAAAAACAGCAAACAGGGGAAGTATAAGCAAATAAATTCCAGAAAAGCTCAAATAATGCTTAGTACTACAAACTATCACGTGTATGTTTACTACAGAAAGAGGTAGGCGCCATTGTAGGGTAAACAAGCCATTGTTGAGCATACACAGAAGGCCTGGGTATTCACTGTGGCAGAGCAGGAACAAAGGGAGTATGGTTCTATAATGCAGGTAGGTTACCTGCTTCAGGTAACACCTAGAGAAAGGCAGCAAGCTGCTGGGAAAAGCACAGGATGAAGCAAAAGGGAGACAGTGAGGAAGAGAACAATGGGACTGGGTATTCAAGATGGTTCTGTAAGTGGCAGAGAGGGCAGGGGCTCAGGCCAGAGGAGCTGGGGGTTCCTGCAATGGAAAGGGGTTCACTCCAGTTGGAGTGTGTGTATAAGTGGGGGCTGTGAGAGGTGAACAGCTTGTATAAACACTGAGGGCTTGTATAAGCCCACCCAGGAGATGGGCTGCAGGGGCAGCAAAGCCCTAAGATTGTATCCAGAGGATTGATTGTGAACCTATGTGCATTTCTCTCAGGTAAGAATACACAATTTTCTTTTTTGGTGTTTTAATTTTTTAATTAAGATTTCCTTAATAGAGTAATTGTATAAAGAGGTTTCAGGGTTTTACAGATTAGATCTGAAGTACAGTGCCTCTTGATCAATATCACCCTTTCATGGTTCTTCTCCATCTTTCAAGTTCAGCGTTTACATAATGTACATGGAATGTACAATGTCATTAGACTGTATTTGCTCACCCTTCCTTACTCCATTTATGACCGCCCTCCTCCCCTCTTCCCTGAAAAACATGTTTCAACCTTAGTCAATTTTTATGCATAACTTCCACATATGAGAGAAAACATGCACCATTGTCTATCTGAGCCTGACTTCACCTAACATAATTTTTTTTCTAGGCCCAACTATTTCCCTGCAAATGACAAAGTGTTATTATATTATTATTTTATTATGTATTATTCTTTCTGATAGTGTGTATTTATCACATTTTCTTGATCTACTTATCTGTTGTAGGGCATCTGGGCTGTTTTCTTAACTAGGCTTTTGGAGAGTACACAATTTTCTAAGGACCTTGGGGCAAAAAAGAATAAACTAAAAACCAAACAAAAACACTGTTCTAGGAGAATGAAGAACCACTGAAGGTCTGGACAGATGAATGATCAAACAGGCCTGTGCTTTGCAAAGACTATGTATATAAGAAGTTGAAAAAATGGGACTGGGAAGTTGACTTAGTGATAGAGTGCTTGCCTTGCATGCGAGGCCCTGGGTTCCATTCCTCAGCACCACATAAGCAAAAAATAGCTGGAAGTGGTGCTGCGGCTTAAGTAGTAGGGCGCTAGCCTTGAGCTGAAGAACTGAGGGACAGCGCCCAGGCCCAGAGTTCAGCCCCCACAACCGACAAAAAAAAAAAAAAGAAGTTGAAAAAATGAAAGTGAAAGAGAAGATGCTAGAATCAGCATCAC